AATGAAACATTCTTTCATGACTTCACTTCTTATTCAAGCTCCGAGTGTATGCCTATCATGTAAGAATACTAAAAAACTATCTTGTTGATGATGTAAAAATTTTAATCGTATGATGCAATTATATTTGTTGACTTAGAAGAGTAACCTACATTTTTATGATAAAATTTCCAATCAAGTTTATATGTTAAATATAAAAAAATAATTTATAAAATGTAACACTATAGAAAACAATGTTACCTTAGATAGTGCTACAGATGAAAGTGGGTCCAAACCCGGTCCGGATGGACCCGGACCCAGAAAATCCAGAACCGGTTAACGGGATTTTGTAGGACTGAAAACCGGACAGGTATATAAGAACTGGTTCCGGTTCGATTTCGGGTACGATACTGAGTTAAGTGGATCTAGAACCGGAAAATTCGGAAACATCAAAGTGGGCAAAGTGGAACTGGGTAAAGTGGGTTTAGAACCAGAAAACCGGGAAAAACTAGAATTTTTTTGGTAATTACTTGCTATTTAGTGGGTTGAACTTTGTTCATATTGATCTCTCGACTAGGGGGGACTACAAGTTGTTGAATATGAACCCAAAATTGACAAAATTATAGTCTAAAATCATGTCCAAACTCTAAAATACAATCTGCAAAAAAACAGTATGTCAATCCAATTTTAAGCGAATGAGATGTGCATATTTTATCATTTTCACATAATACAAAGTACAAAAACAAATAGTTGAAAAATTAAAAATTTCCAGCTTTGATATCCCGACTTCGAGGTACTGTAATTCATTGAGTACTAAACCAAAAATGACAAAATTATAGTCTAAACTCATCTACAAACTCTAAACTACAAGTTGGAAAAAATCACATGTCAATCCGACTTCAAACGAATTAGATATGTATGTTTTAAAATTATCACAGAAAAACAAAAAAGCTGAAAAACTAAAAACTTCCAGCTTTGATATCTCGATTTTGGGGGACTGGAACTCATTGAATATGAACCTAAAATTGACAAAACTATAGTCTAAAATCATGTACAAACTCTAAACTGTACTCTGAAAAAAATCGTATGTCAATCTGACTTTAAGTGAATGAGATGTGCATGTTTTAACATTTTCACAAAATATAAAGTACTAAAACAAATAGTTCAAAAGTTAAAAATTTTCAGCTTTGATATCCCAACTTCTGGGGACTTTAATTCATTGAATATTAAACGAAAAATGACAAAATTATAGTCTAATCTCATGTACAAACTCTAAACTACAAGTTGGAAAAAAAAAGCACATGTCAATCCGACTTCAAACGAATTAGATATGCATGTTTTAAAATTTTCATAGAATATAAAAATGTTAAAAAAAACTAAAAAATTTTAGCTTTGATATCTTGATTCTGGAGGAGTGTAAGTCAATGAATATAAAACTAAAAAAATGAGAATTTTATAGTCTAAAATCATGTACAAACTCTAAACTACACATTGAAAAAAATGGCATGTCAATCCGACTTGGAACGAATGAGATATGCATGTTTTAAGCTTTTCACAGAAACTGGTTCCGCCCTCTAAAGGTGGTTTCGGTTCCTAATACTGCTTCCAGTTCTTAAACCCGGTTTACCCAGACCCGATGGACCCAAACCCGGATTACCAAAAACCCGGATAAAGCCATTTTTTAAACCCGGAACCGGAAACCGGTTTTATATATTCCGCTTCTAACGGTTCGGTTCTGGTCCGATTCCGGTTCCGGTCCGGTTTTCCGGTTTTAAATCTTATCCCTAGATACTGCTACTACAACAATTATGAAAAAAAAATTGCATCAAAAATTGAAGAAACTCCAAATGTTGCAACAAAATCCAAAGACAATACTTTCTGAAGTGTTGCTTATGCACATTTTTTAGTTTTATAGCCATAGTGTGCCTAAACCATGCCTATTTCAATATTTTCATTAAGATGATTTTACACATAACTTTGACACTTAAAATCAAGGTTCTAAATAACTTTAGATGTGATTTGGCGGCAATGTCAAACCTCAAACTTTTACGAGTTGTGGCGAGCCACGTCATTGGTAAACATGACTTAAGGTGACAATTTTGTATATAATTAATATTTCTATATATTTTTTCTACTATTAATCATTTGTGTGTGTGTATATATATATATATATATATATATATATATATATATATATATATATATATATAT